GAACCGATACGGGCCGAGTGCGGGTACGCCGCCTGTCCGGTGACCGACCCATCAAAGCTAAACATACACCTCATAGCCCACAGTCACGACGACGTGGGTTGGATGAAAACAGTCGACGAGTATTACGACCGCTATGTCCGTAAAATTATAACAAACGTGGTCAAAGAGCTTGAAAAGGACCCTGCTCGCCGATTCACCCATGTGGAAATTTACTATTTTCACCGCTGGTGGCGCACACAGACTGACGAGCGCCGGTATGTAGTCCGCAAACTGGTATCTGAGGGACGACTGGTGTTTGCGAACGGAGGCTGGACTGTAAACGATGAGGGCTCAGCTCATTATAACAATATTATTGATCAGATGACACTTGGTAAGTTTGTTATATCATAATAATGTATTTATTTTTGAATCAGGATAAAAATGTGTTAAAAATTGACTAAGGTCCTAAACGATAGATTTAATTATTAACATTTGTAAAAGAATAGTTTATCGTGTTAACAATTTTGCTGAAATATGTATACCAAATAAATTTAAATAAATAAGTTGTTAGCAATGAAATGTAAGTTTATTTATAAATTTACAGTTAAAAAAATATTCAATATTTTATTTTTTTGTACATTAAATTATTTATTAACCATAACAATTATTGGTTTACAACTACAATTAGGCCTTAAATTTTTGAACGATACATTCGGCGCGTGCGCACATCCAAAAGCATCATGGCAAATTGACCCGTTTGGTGCTTCACTAGAAATGCCCTCACTATACGCTCAGATGGGTTTCGATGGCCACGTATGCAACAGAGGCCCAGACCCGGGAGAGTACATATGGCACGTGTCACCCGACCTGAACACACGTATATTTACCACGATATTACACTCGCACTATAGCGCACCCAATGGCTACAACTTTGAAGATGGGCATAGCAGGATTAGCCACCGAAATGTACATGCTAAAACCGAAAAATTTATCAATAATGCTCGCAACTGGAACAATGATTACGGTAATACCAATCACGTGTTGGTTACTATGGGCGATGATTTCAAATACAGGACAGCCAACAATTGGTTTGAAAACATGGACAAAATGATCAATGAGGCAAAAGCTAATTACCCTGATGTTAATTTGTTTTACTCATCACCTGATTGCTATGTGAAGGAAGTGAATGGTTTGAACCGTACGTTTGATGACCGCAATGTTGATTATTTATCCTATTGGGTCGGGTATTACTCTAATAGACCGGCCCTTAAGTACCAGGATAGGTTGGCAAACAATATACTTCAGGTTAGAAAATATATTTTTATTTTTATTTTAAAAAAACTTTTAAAAATTTAAAAAATCATTATATACACTTAATTGTAAGTTATAGTTATTATTATTACTAAAAACACAAGTGTGCAAGTAGTGTTTCCAATTATTAAACATCACAAAATGTTGTTGATAATTAGTTAAATAAAACCTTTTTAAATTACAGTTTCTTGTATTGTTAAAATTTTTCAAAATTGACATATAACCATGCTCGTGTGCGTAGGTGGCTTGAATCACAAGTGAACCCACCATGATTTGGGCCCTATTGTAAAATTCCTTTATTTTTTGTTGAAATTATTTTACATAAAATATTCCATGAATTAAATAACATTAATATATAATTTTAAAGTAAGTAATTTTTAAAAATTTGTTTTTTAATGTTATTTTTATATATGAATTAAATTGATAAAATTAACGATTAGACCAACAATCCAAAATAAGATACTTTCTTATTTAAAGAATAATATTATTATTATTAAATAAATATAAATACAGTCTTTAAACTATCAAACAATCCAGACATTTTTAAAGATTTAATTGCTCAATCATTAATTGATATATCATTTGTAAATATTTTAAATCAGGCGGGAAAACAGCTATCAGTATTAGCACGTTTAGACCCTTCAAAAACTACTGCATATTTGGATGAAGCACGTAATGAAGTGGCCATATTGACTCACCATGATGCCATTACGGGAACCTCACCCCAGGCCACTGCCGTTGACTACTCCAGTCGGTTGCAGAGCGGATACGTGGCCGCTAAACAAGTCATACGTCGAGCCTATAGTTATCTCAAATCAAACAACTCCGAAAAACCGGTGATCGTAACCGACGTGTACTGCGATTCACTCAATATAATCAATTGTACGCTAACTGAGACCGCGGATCGGGTGGCCGTCACTACCTATAACCCGATCGCCCGACCCGTCACTCACTACTTGCGAGTGCCGGTCACTGACGGTGTGTATCGTGTGTTTGACTCAACCGGTGTTGAAGTGGCGGCAAAATCACTGCTCCCGGTGTCGGATGCGGTCAGACTATTGCCCGAACGTAAAGGCAGTCTCGGCACACATGAGCTGGTGTTCAACGCTAGGCTACCGGCTCTTGGGTTCATCACGTATTTTATTGAGAAACAAAATAACACCGAAAATGGTATGAAAAGTATTTGAAATAATTTTACATACTTAAAACAAACTGTAATTTAATCCAAGATTTTTGTTATATAAAACATTGAGCATTTTATAATAATTTATTTTGGATCATTATCAACACAGCTGATATTATAATTATAGTAAATAAACACCCTGGGCATTCTTTTATTTTTAATTGTTTTTTCTATTTATTTTGTTAGACCAATTAATGGATGAGTTGAGTATTGAAATGAAGGGCAAATCGTTTACACTGCAAGTGGACGGGACTACCGGTGCTCTCCAGACAATTACACTCAACGGAAGGAAACACCGATTGAATCAATCGTACAAATGGTATAAATCAATGCAATCAAAGTCGGGTCGCGAGGACTCCGGGAGTTATCAGTTCTGTCCGGACGGCAACGCCCGGGACTACAGACAGCAAAAGCTGATTTCAAAGCATACGTTGAGTGCCGTACATGAGCTGAACCAACAGTTTGCCGATTATATACACCAAACGGTGCGCACATATGAAGACAGGGATTACATTGAGTTTGATTGGACGGTCGGTCCGATACCGATGGCCGACAAGATTGGCAAAGAGATTGTTACCCGATTTGAGTCCGATCTCCAGACCGATGGCGTGTTTTATACAGACTCTAATGGCCGGCAGACTATACGCCGTAAATACAACCCTAACATCAAGGGCTGTACTAATAGCGTGATTACTGCAAATTGGTTCCCCATATATAGTCACGTGTTTGTAAAAGACGAGAATCGGGGTATGTTTTAATGATATTAAAATGTTTATAACAGATTATTAATAAGACCCCAAATACGCGCATATAGTTGCAAAATATTATATGATAAACCAAAATTAAAATAATAATTATAATTTTATTATTTTCTAATTATAATGTTAACATTTTTATTTGGCATAATTTAATCAAATTAATATAAATTCATACGGGGGTTGTTTTCTAGCCAGAAATAAGTTATTTTATAAATTATGATAAATATAATTGGATAAATTATTTTCAATTACAGTTTTAATGCAAATCAATCAGTTTATATCTAGGTGTGCAAATGACATTGCTCAATGACCGGACACAGGGTGGGTCATCACTAATGAACGGTCAAATAGAGCTTATGGTTCACCGGAGACTACACAACACGGGAAGGGGCGGTAATTTCAAGATTGACGAACCGGGAGTAGACGGTAAAGGACTAGTAGTCCGGGGCCGACACTACCTGTACTTCCAGCCCATCGCCGACTCACCAAAACTAATGCGAAGTCTATCGCAAAGTCTGTTTATGGGACCGATTGTGTCGTTTAGTAGATACTCGACAGTTGCGGACTATTCGCAAAAATTTGTCACAAGTTTTACGGCGATCGGCGACTCTTTGCCCGAAAGCGTGCATTTGTTGACATTAGAGCAGTGGTCAGAGCGGGAAGTGTTGGTCCGTTTTGAGCACATGTATGAGACGGCCGACAATCACGAGCTCTCTAAACCGGTTGGATTTAATTTGCAAAAAGTGTTGAAAACTCTAAGCATTGAAAAAGTGGTTGAAATGAATTTAGCGGCCAATGAGTTGCTATCGGAGACCAAACGTCTGGAGTGGCGCTCAAAACACACCACTATATCGTATGATATGAGCGATGGAGGCAATGATGTCAACGATATGATTATTAAATTAACGCCACAACAAATCCGCACATTTATTATTACCACAAATTCCACTTATAATGAAGAGGGTATGAATTTCTATAACTTTTTAATTAAATTAAAAAATATTTTGTTTAAAAATTATATCTACCGTACATGCTGTACAAAGTATTAATGATTTTAATAATGTGTTCTGCAAAAATGACAATCAGTGCAGTCGCCCAAGTTTACTATTTTATAATCTATATCTATTACAATAATTATAATTGTCATAATTATTACAGTTTATTATTCACTTGAATAAATCAAATCTTTATTTTGCAGCCAAATGCACCTACAGTTGGGTTAATGCGAGTCAAACAACAATCCCGGGCAACGCATATATAGCCGGTTATGATATCGACAAAACAGCGCTCACTATATGTCGACACAAACACAACGGAGACCTCATAGCCGGCAGAGCGCACAAAGTGGTCGGTTGTGTCCTTACGTCGGGCGGGAGTGAAGTTACTATCAAAAGGTCGCACGAGTTTGAGGTATTGGTGGCCAACGATGTGGAGTGGGTTCCCCGACACGGCACAGACCCCGTCCCCACCGGTGCTCTCGTGGTCGGCAATAAGGGTCGGCCCAATACAGACACATACATCGGTCGGTGCGATACACACGGGGCTAAAATTGTTGGCAAAATTGATTATAAATTTTATTACGGCCACCATGGTGACGAGATTAGCGATTGTATTAATCATGAAATATTAATTTGCAATTAAATTAACGTATGCTTATAAACTTAACTTTTTTCGCGCTGATGTATACGACCCGTTGATACACAATTAGTAACGTTAAAATATTTGTAAAAACTTAAATTATTATTCAAATTTTTAATTAAATCTTTTTATTAAGGTATTTCTATTAACTACAAAAACAAGCAAAACCAACCATCTACGTTAAAAATAAATCTAGTCGTATTTAAAAACTAATCAAGTAATTATATGTAAATTAATTTTATTTAAGAGATAAAAGGGTTAAGGTTAAATATTTCATTTAATCAGTGTTGCCACCACCATTTGTAAACGGACAATATAGTTTCCGTTTCCATCAGTTTAAATATCACAACAAGATATTTAAAGCGTTAAAAAATCTGAAAGTTATTTGTTAAATATTTGGACCAATTTCTCAACGATAACATTATTTGTCAATTGAATTGATTCACTTGTGTCCACACAAACAGTAGTTATATTTGAGGGCAAATCCTATTAAAATATATAATGTATAAATAAATTGTTGTTACAATAAATATATTATTAATATATAACTTTACCTCTGAATTAGGAATCAAATAGAAATGATTAGAAGTATTGAGATATTCATTACACTTGTCGTCCATTGAGTCCAATTGTGAAGACATTAATATAACCACAGATTTGTCGCCCATTTTTGTCCACTTCTTGTTAATCATTGTTTTAAAATTCTTTCCAGACTTTTGCTTTTTATTCAATCTATAAGTCCATAACATTTGGATCCGTTTAACCATTGTTTCCAACATTAGGTCCAAGTCTTGAGATATCATTGCATTCCCCGCTATCTCTCTTAATTCAGCGCCAATTCTTTTGACTCTGGACTTAATGTTTTGGTCACAACTGTCTCTCAATATCTTCCTCTTGTAATCGATGGGTAAGTCATCCGAAAGACAATTCAATATCAACTCCAATACCATATCATCCTTCAGGTCGTTCTCTCGGAAGCGCTGTTTCGACAGCACATCAATCATAACCGCCTTCTCTGCCAAACCTTTCCGCAAGAGTTGGCCGCAAATGATCGCTCCGTCCGTCGATCCCAAAACATCGTAACCACCATTTGGTTCGAGTCTTGCCATCAAATCAGTAAAGTATTTCATCACTTCCTTCAAAGTCGACAATCTGTTCACAACTGGAGTCCAATTGAGTCCAACAACCGGTCGATTAATATTTTGGACCAAATGGTCATACAATGCAAACCCCATCTCCAGAGTCGGCATTAAATACAAAGGCTTTCCGTTTGAGACACCATTGAGTCTGACGTGTGTTTCCACAGGAATCACAAACCTATACTTTAAAAGCGATATTTGAGCCTTTTTTAAGCCATTAAAATAGCCTCTAATGGTGTCATCGCCTCCGGACTCAAACACCCGAAGCAGTCCGACAGACATGTCTTTAATGAGCTTTAGTTGAATCGTTTGATTACAGAGTTTTCCCATTTCTTGCTGTAATTCTGAGGCAAATATGGACTCAATTCCGATCTCTCCTAAAGTTGTGTCCGCCGGAGTGGCCGACGGGTCGATACCTAGAGATCCCCACAACTTATGTATAAACCATTTCGAGCCCTCTTTAGTCTCAGTGTCCAGTTTTAACAATGAGTTCTCCACTGTTTTCACCTGTTTTTAACAATATAAATGTTATTCATTTGAAACTTTGCACATGGTGCATTAATTAATTAGTTATTAATATATTTATTGTTGAGTTAAATGTAAATAAACTATTTAATGCATACATTTACAGATACGACCGGGTATTGTACGGCCAATAGTTTGTCCAATACTTCACAACACGAATGTATCCATTGTTTCTGAGTTGTCGTAAATGCAAACGTTTGTGTCATATCAGACATCACTCCGACGTCACCGACCGGACCAAACTGTATGGCCAGACCCGACAGGCCGTCCCTCTGTCTCTGTTCGCAAATACGCTCACAAACAGAGTTACCGTAAGTATAGTTCAGTTGGCCCTCAATTCCCAATCCCGATGAAAGGGACGAAAACACCACAAAATAATCTAAATTATAATCCAATTGTCGACTCAATTGATCCAAATTCTTGAATATCTTTTCCTTTATGTCAACGGTTTTCATGAATGTCTCGAAAGACACTTCACTGAAGAGACAATTGTTTAACTCGAGGGCCAAATGAAAGACACCACCGATGGGTGCGCCCAACTCTTTGCACTCATTTAACAGTTGTTTTGTGCCCTCAATAGTGAAACAGTCAGCCGTAGAGACTATGACCTGATTTTCAAATGTTTTGTTTGTTTTGCCGAAAGTCTTCAAACAATTAATAATATATTTCTGGTAATCATTTTTAATACCCGAACGGGAAGTCAACACTAATCTCTTCGCCCCCATATATACCATCCATTGACACAACTCTAACCCAAAGCCACCCAAACCACCGGTAATTATATAAGTCTTGTTTGGATTGAAATAAGTTTTTGTGCTAACATTCATACTATCGGCCGGTTTTATAAGTTTCAACGTCTTTCTGTTCGCCTCCTCTTCCCGAATACGGATAACTATTTTCCCGATATGTTTACCGGTAGTCATGTATCGGAAGGCATTCGCTACGCCTGCGGCTGGAAATACCGTCCGGTTTAATGGTTTTACGCAACCATTGGCGCAGTTGCGGTGAACCCAAGCGTAAAATGCGTCCCAAATATACTTCCGACTTAAGACACCTTCATCTAAATTGACGGCAATAATACACAAATCCCTCAATAAATTATACATCGGAAGTTTTTTATTCATAAACAAATCCATTTTTCCCAACTCTACAAACCGTCCGCCTGTGCCCACACACTCATAGCTGGCGTCCAACTTATCGCCGGCCGAAGAGTTGAGCACTACATCCACTCCCCGTCCGGCAGTCGATCGCATTACTTGACTCTTGAATTGCGTACTTCTCGACGAGAATATCTTCTTCGCCGGTATTTTGTATGTATTTATGAGAAACTGTTTCTTCTCTTCGGTGCCGACCGTCGCGTATATATCGCAGCCGTAGTGTTGGCACACATTGATGGCCGCCTGACCCACACCTCCCGCCGCCGAATGGATTAATATACTCTCGCCTATAGGTGTTAACAATTGTATAAATCAAATATGTGCAATAAAGTATATTAATCAAATGTAATTAATGCTTTTTTAAACAATTTATTAAAATAAGATGCTGACAAACCCTGTCTAATATTTCCCCTTTCTATCAGTCCATACCATACCGTAAAATACGGGCTCAATATAGTGACCGCCTCTTCCATAGACCAGTTGTCGGGTATTGTTGTGAACAGAAATGGGTCCACACGAGTACTGGTGGCGACACATTTGCCGTGATTTACACCTATAACGCGTTCCCCGGTATCGGCCCGACGGCCGGCAAACTCGTGTCCAATTTGTTGCTCAAATATGTCTGAAATCGCCGCTATTTTGCCTTAAAATAGTAATAAAATTTAATTGACATTTGCTTATATGGATGATAACTACCGGTGGCTATGAATACGTCTCGAAAGACTAATGCCGAGCAATATATCTGTATTTTAATCAATTGTCTCCTCTTATTGGTCACGTCGTAGTAGTGGTCAGTTATAGGAAGGGTTGTGATGTCTGTCCACTGTATTGACGACAAGTCCCGACCCTTTCCTAAACCCAAGTAATACTCATTTGATTGGATTTTATCGAAATCTTTGCCAAAACTCTGATATCTATAGGAACCGAGTCTTCCATCTCTGATCACATTTGACACCAAATCGTTGGCCAATATATCGCTGAATGACTTCTGATTGAAGTCTATTTCAGTATTTGTATTGATTTTGTCGTAAACGAAAATATATCTGAAGTGTTCGCCTCCCGGTTCCAGACGTAGACTCTTTGCAAAACCCATTACTCCGTTAATACACGAGTCGTTGGCAATGAGCCAAACCCGTGGACTATCGGCACCCAATTCACTGGCCATCAGTAGTCTGTCCTTCAATAATGGGAACCATTGCTCGCATTTGTCGTTAAATTGGATTATACTTTCTTTGTCCGGAAGTATTGTTTTTAATACTTTCCTGAAGAGTACAGCCTTTGAACCAATTGTATCGCATTTACTGCATATCACTCTTAATCCCATTTCATTGGCATTTGTTATGAAATTATTGATCCGTTTTTCAAGATCTGAATCAGTGACTGAATTACCAAACAATGAATTCAATGCGATCTCCGGTTTTGTCAGTTTATATCGAAATACTGTTAATAGAAATCCATTGCTTTCGATGGCGTCCTACATGTTTTGGATCAAGTCTTGTAAATCCAATTCCCATAAATGGTGTGAATATCTTAAGACAATTAAATGGTTTAGTTTAAGAATTAAACTCTCTTTGATATCCCATTCAAAAGCATTGGGTTTGAGATAATCGGGTATTAATTGTTTCGATTTAATAATGAGTTTGTAGTCGACATCAGACCACGTGATTAAAGAGTAAACCAGAGTTTGTTTGATATGATTTGCCATCAAATCGTTTGTGAGATTAATTTCCGTTACTTTCATCTGTTTTACGGGTAAAACATTTTCGCCGATTATCTCAACCATAGATCGTATTAATCGCTCATTTTTTGTCACGAAATTTACTAAATCATGGCTTAAATCGTTTTCAGGATTAGATTGCATTTCATTAAATAAAACGTTTAATAAGTGTTTATCGTTGGGTGTAATGTTTTGTTTAGCAATCGTTTCGTAAATTTTATCTAAAATCTTAAACATAACGTTATTATCATCGATGCTATGTTAAGGCCTTAGAGGCCTATTTTATAAAACAATTAGTTTGTAATTCATACTCTATTTAAGTGCTACTCATATATAGTATACAATAATATGAAAAGTGAGGTTTAAACTTATAACTTTTATTATTCAACTCTAATAGTTAATATAAACTTTTATAAAAAAAGGGAAACTCTGCGTTATAATTAGTAACGATTATTTTGAATGATAATTGAAAAGTTAACTTGGTCATTCAATTACCACGTCATAATAAAAATGATTTTTCTCTATTTCATGGCAATCTTGGTTATTATCAATGTTTGTATTTCTATAACTTTGTATCACTTCTTCGCTAATCTTTCTGAAATTTAAATCACAATTGATTTCATTGAAACCCATTTCACGTATTTTTACAACCATTTCTTTGCAAACCTATCAAACAATTAAAATTTTTGTTAGAGAGAGAGAGAGAGAGAGAGAGAGAGAGAGAGAAATCTTTCCCATCCTTTGATTCATTCCATATAATTCTGTACAATATTTTAGTTAATCTATTATTGTGTGTAAGAGAGAGAGAGAGAGAGAGAGAGAGCATAAAGTAATACTAACTTCAATATTATTAATAAGTAGTTTCCTATGGCTGTCATCGATGGCCGTATTGTCGTCGTTGGCGATAAACTCATGTCTTTCTAAAACCATATTGGGATCAGTTTTCCTCGTGATGGGAGCGGTGACCATATTATACACTTCAGCCCCGTATGTGACCACACATTTAGTCGACGAGTCAAACACTAACGGCAATTGTGAGCGATAGAGTTGGAACCGTTCCCTAAGATTATTATTGTAATTGCTGTTGAAGTTGTCGTTCAGACAACTGTCCAACGCTCCCGTATTAGTGGCGTCAACCACTTGGCCATCAGTGGTGGCCAACACATTATCGGCCAAACGATTCCTCTTCAGCGCCTCGAAGAGTGTGTTCGGGTCGACACGTATGGCGTCGATCATCACCGGAACCACGAGTTTCCGGAAGGGAGACAAACAACCGGTCAGTTGTAACAAACCGTCCAAAAATGTAACCATATTTCCCGTCCACTCGATGTCCGCCGACACCCGACGAAAGCCATTGGTCCGCATATTTGTCAACGACTGAAACCCTTTGGAGTACTCATAGCCCCGGATATGCATCTCTTTCCTAATGGACTCCCTGTCCAACCGGTACTCACACTCCGACACCACTGGTTGTCCATCACTGATGAAGTGCTGTTCGGTCAGCATATCGTCGGCGCCCCGACGGACAGTACCGACGGCGCATGTGATGTCTTTTTCTTGGATACTATAATCGCCTAAACATTATGTCACAAATGTTTTAATATAAATAAAAATCGCTTAAAAATTATTTTAAATACCCGTTCGCTGATAATATTTGACGGTAAGTCTGGTCGGGACGTCCGGTGCGAGAAATGTCGGCCTCAAGAACTGGCACTTCGAGAAAACTGCCGGAACTTTATTCCACGTCTGGCCATAAGAGGCGGCCATTTGACGCCACGCGAGCATCAGATAACCGGTCGCTGGGAACAGGTTATTGCCGTCGACCACGTGATCGCACAGGTAGTCGTCTTTAGTGCTAGAAATGTTGATCACAACATTCATATCCCCGGAAACGGATCGTAACTTATTTTGCGGCCATTTAGACGTATAGACAGATAGGTCTCGGCTGTGATCCCACTTAATAAGAGAACTGATCGACGGTGTACTTCGAGGGACCGGCCATTGTATGGGTGAGTACAGGCGCTCCACCAATGGATTGAAACCTAATTCATACAGTTTGGAGATTCCCGACAAAAATTGATTAATATTTTTATGGTTTGAATTTTTGGATATTAATGATATATATTGACAATTGTCCACTGATTCGGCCATTATTTTGCCAAATACTGAGTGCGGGCTCAACTCTAATACGACAGCACCGGTGGGTATGTGTTTGAGTTGATTGTAAAATTGAACAGGGTGCATTAGGTTGTACACAAAATACTCGGCCGACGCGTAACGCAAGCGCTCGTCCTCTGGCTCCGACATCCTTACCGAAGTGGACAACCATTTCCGGGACCGGAGCCGAGGGTTAGGCATATATTCATTGATGGCGTCGACCATAGGCTGTGCCGATGAGCGCAGGTATTCGCTATGGAATGGGAGTTCACTACTCTCCAACTGTCGCACAAAAACTCCCCTTTTATTCAACAAATCAATTGTTTCCATCATTTCTTTCTTCAGACCTTAAAATCAATTTTTTTTAATAATTACACGACATTTGGGGTTATTAACTATAATTAGTTAACGTTTAATCCTCTAATTGTCTGAATGCATACCTGATATGACTACAGATTCCTTAGCGTTATTACAGACAACAAAAACCCCTTTTGGGCAGATATTGAGCGCCTCAGCCCTCGACAGCCCCACGACTGCCATTAAACCCCTCGGTATCTGTGGGTCACTCTCAGTGATGGCACCCCTGAAGTACGTGACAATCATTGCATCCCTTGAGGTGAGACACCCGTCAGCGTAAGCACAGGCTATCTCTCCAAACGAGTGGCCAATTATACCGTCGGGTGTGATGTCCAGCGCTTTCATCACTTCAAACAACGCTATCTCTATAGCAGTCGTCGAACAG